CTACAGTGTACAGGCTAGTGCCCACAACAGCGAACTATCTAGCCCAGAATGTCAGCTGCGTGCTGTGTTTGAGGAACTCTGACTTATGAGGTAGTGCTGGAATCTGGTGTTCCACATACGGCCAGTGCAGAAAGACGCTTCCTTCTCCATGATAAAAATCAAAACACCCTGACCACACAAAGTGAAAACCACACCAACAATGATACACATTTTTCTAGGAAGATACCAAAAGAATTGTTTCTGACAAGTAGCCAAGTCTTTAGTGCTGCCCTTACAAAGAATGAAACAGAAAGCAATGTGTAGATGGGAGAAATACAGTAGTTTCTCGCTCACATTAATAAGAAAGCACCCTGCAATCTCCAGTCTGCCCTGCTTCTTGGCAGCATCTGGGGTGTCACAGACTGGCTGTTACCTGATCCCCAGAAAGCCACCTGTGGAGCTGGGCAGGGGACTGGGGCACTTCAGGTGCTACTCCAACACAACGGATAACAGGGGGACCCAAAGAAGAAACAACACCTGTGCAACTTAATTTCAAGGTCTATTAGCAGCACAAAAGGGGGGAAAATTGCACTTCCAAATGCATGTCCTGAAACTCAGCAGGGACATTTTTCATTTGCAATTTTTAAATGGTAGAATAATAATTATGGTTCTTTTTACTGAGAACAGCATCCAAGCTCAAATACATTGCACTTCATCAGCAGATACTGGAAATACACTACACGTGGCTACTCACGTTTGGGAAACGCAGGCCTAGCTAACATTCCGTGTAGACTCACTGGAGTTGTGCCTGCACCTTCGAGTCTATGACTGTGTTTCCCAAATGACCTTGCAATTATAAGTGATCGTAAGGCAAAAGAAATGTTATCATTAAGTTGTGCCTTTCAGCGAACCCTCCATGCTGGCCAGTTATTCAACTGATGTTGAAAGACAAGAACAGGTTCTTTTAAGTATAAATAAATAAATGCGGAGGTACACATGTACTCATGCCTCCCCGCAACTGATGGAGGGAGAGGCACAATGTGCCCATTCCCTGAAATACTACAATCTAGAGTTGTAACCATCACCTTCTATGAAGGCTCCACAGCACAGAAGCATCTGTGGGAAACTCAGACACAACAGGCCAAAAAAATAAATAAAAAATAAAAAATCCTACTTCGTAGGTGGTGTTTGCTAAGGTTTGAGAAAGCGAAATGAGATGCCAAGCCCCACTTCCAAGCAAATACCCAGAAGCAGAAATGGAAAAGAGGAACCAGAAGGAGAAACTCCTTTTAGCAGTGAAACCACATGCTGTCCCCTCCAGCATCATCCAATCCATGGGGGCATTTACTGAGTACTTTCAACAGGTAGGCTTTGAACAAGATGCTATGGGCAAAAAACAAAGGTTAAGTGGATACTGCCGGGCCTCAGAAGGCAAGCACTTTCAAGATCACTTTTTTTTTTTTTAACCTTTCCCCTTATGTTAGCACATGGCAAAGAACTCCAGATCTGATGCTATTCACTCCGTGTCATAATTTAAGATCATAAAAGTAGAGAAAAGCAGAATTGGTCTTTCCAAAAACAAAAGCATCATTCTGAAAGGGGATAATTTTGGCGAAGAAACATTCAAGTTCTTTCTGGGAGGAGAAACTGATTTACTAGGCAACTGGTTGAAGGATGGGGATTTTTTTTTTTTTAAATCTGGGTTTTAGTTTCTTTGATCCACCTTCATCTTCAGCAAGATAAACTAAGCTCAAAAATGCAGTTCAAGCTAATTCTTGATTTCAGTGAAGTTCATTTCCAGCTAGATTCCTCTAGGGGAACATCCCTTTCACATCATCAAAAAGCCCAAGAGCGAATCATTTGGAAAGAAAAGCCATTTTGGATAAAAGGTACAGAAAACACAGCTCAACAGATGAAGGGCACACACATGCAGGCACACAGAGCTATCCCTAAAAAGAAAATAAATTTAGGGAGCCCTTCTTCAACTGCCATGGTACCCAATTTAGAAACAGTTTAGAGCCAACCAGAAGATATATCAGCAAGCAATAAGACACAACAGTAAGCAATCAGAAACATCAGTGAGCAATAAGACACCAGAGTAAGCAGTAAAGACACACCAGGGAGAACATTTCTGAGCAATTACCACATGTCTTAATGCAAAAAGAGAGAAAGAAAAACTTCACTCAGTCGGGATTGGAACCCTATAAAAATAAACTCTCTCCCAGCTCCAGAGCCATTGCTGCTATGACAATAGGGGTTTGGGGACAGTTAGGGCATGGCTCAGGGAGAGGGCAACAAAAGCAATAAATGGCTTTTTCCTCAACAAGGGCTAACAAACTTAAGTTCTTATCCTTCTTTTTGGCACTCTAATCTACAGACAGGGCAAAGAGTTTAGATATATGTTGTTTAACCGACAAAATATAAAGCCCCCTGCCCCCACCCTCTAGGGGAAATAAAGGAGGATGGCTCTATTCTCTGTTTCACATCTATGTCTGCCGTGCCCATCATAGTCTCTCGAAGGGAGGAATGCACATGTGCACAGAGGGACAAGCTTGTTTCTACACAGGTTGGCCACAAAAACAGACCCTTAAGACACAGAGAACTTGCTTACTAGACAGGTTATTAAATATCCCAGGAAACTGTCAGCTCTCCAGGAACCTCTAAGAAAATGGCAGCATATTCTTCAAAACTTGCCCATTTGTGATGATTTACAAATGAAAGCAAGGAAGACAGAGCCAACACTCTTCTCTTTATGGTGCTTGGTCTTAAGCTGAGCTCAAGGGACTCCAATACCAAAGGTACCTACCCCCCAAACACTCAAACTCCATAAAACCTGTGAAACCACTAACTTCTCCTAGATGTTGAGAAGACTGAGTAAAACCACGTGCCTCTGAGGGTCACAAACAGGTGTAACTGGTATTTCCTGGATGGTTGCTGGATGTTAGTTTCCTCCCCTTCCTTCCAATTACTTTCGGGGTCACAATCCATTTCTAGGAGTCTGTATCTCTTTCATGAGGCCCCTATGCCTCAATCCTACCCACCTTCAAAATGTACCTTCCTGTGAGAAGCCTCCTAGCTACCCCCATTTACATGGCCACCGTCTATGGGATTTTGTGCCTATAGATTATTTTCCTAATTGGCCATTAAAAATTTCAAAGACAGAGTGTCTGACAAACAAAAGATGCAAAGGAGGGAGGATGAGATTAATTATCAGAGGCACAGCTCTAAATCTGCTCCCTCCTCTCGCCCCCTACCCCAACCCCACAAAACACACAAAATCCTTTGGTTCTTTAAATATTAGTAAAAACACAGTACCAGTGGCATGGTGAAAGGAGACCCATCAGAGCCAACAACTTAGAGAATGTGCTCAAGCGGTAGTGGGTTAACTGAGTCAACTAACTCACTCAATACGTGGGGCTGGGATCCCAGAGGAAAGAAGTAGTCACCAACTCCCTCCCATGTCATTTCTGGAGGTCGACCTACAATTCTGGACCTGGGTACTTGGAGCCCAGGCAGGGTTAGTCTCCCAGTGAGCCTGGCACAAACAGGACAGTCAGTGGTAGCAAGATCCCTCATCAAGCAGACAATGACAACAGACTTGTTTACATGGGTTGTATAGGACAGAGACAGTAGGAGGCGGCAAAGGTCAAGGCGGAGCACCCCACTCCACCTCTGGAAATAGGACAATGTAGAACTGCCATGAAATCAGATAGGAGCTTTCCAATGGCATTTTCTGCGGGGGACCAGGGTGGAGGAATGGAGCCCGGAGAGGCATGGGTTCCATTTATTAATAGGCAGCGCAACACAGTGGGAGGTTTTCTTGTCTAATTACAGAAGCCGTTGGAAACTGCAGGGAAGAGAGGATTTATGGCCCAGATGACACTGCCTCTGTGTTGTAATTAAAAGTTATTTTTAATATCTTTCTTTGGTTGGACACTTTGGATTATTAGAAATATATTTTGTAATTTAACACTTGCTAAAGGGCAAAGAACAGAACAGAAAGGTGACACAACAAGCTTGCATAATGGGAAACAATTAAATGTTTTGACACTGGGAGGTAGAAAAGGAACCGAATCCCTCCCACTTCAGTCCGTATGTTTCTACAGTGCAAGTCAGAGGCAGAGAGAAACCAAAAGAACACTAAATTTGATTTTCAAAGTAGCAGAAAGCAACCCATCTCTGTATTTCATACATTAAGTAGAGACTGGATAACCCCATCAGGAGTGCAGACAACTCCTTTACAACCATTCACCCAAAGCATCTCATCTTAATCCTCAGGCCCCTTGCTTTGTCACTCTAATGAGAGCAAGTCCTGGCTCGGCCACGGGGACTCGAAGGCCAACCCCAGGGCACTGCAATGGGGGCATCCAACATAAGCCATGGGCAATCCAGGCTGTGTGTGATCCGGGCTTTGTTTTTAATCTACGCTTCTTCTCTCATCCAAGATTCCAGTTTTGGGAAGGAGCTAGACAAAAATGCATCCCAGTGAGAAATGCAGGTTGGCGTCCAGGAGTGGCAACAGAAGCAGCCCAAGATCAGGCAGGGGCCCTTTATTTTATCAGTCCCATTTCCAGAATTTCCATCTCCTCATGCACAGGATGCGTTTTTCTGCAATGGTGACTTCTTCTTTAACAACGGGAAGGAGAGAATCTCTTATATGGGACAGACTTTCGAAACTGTCTGATGAAAACGGGAAGGAGAAAGGACCTCTAGCTGACAATGAGCTCCCCAGATAACCTCTCTATTCCACTTATCCATGCTATGAATCTTCTCGTTAAAAGTGAATTCCAGGAGCTCATTATGTGAAATATGTCACAGAAACCACCAGCTCTTACACATCATGATGGGCCTTTAAAAGTCTTTTAACATGTTAATCAAAAGTAAATTTAAAATCAGCTTTAGAGGAGCCATACCAAGTTTGATGGGATTTGTATCAATAAGAACCACTGTGCCCCTTTATCCTTTCCCCAGGCCAAAGCACGGTCAGGCTCCACGTCAGGGCACACAACCGCCGTTCTTACCTGCCACATTAATTTTCTCAAGTGCGACCAAGCTGGGAACAGCTGTGGTGGAGTTGGTCGAGTTTGTCCCTGTGCCATTGATTACAAGATTGTCCACCTTGGACTCCAACTTTCCAATGCGCTGCAAGATATTATCCAATAGCACGGCAAGAGTTTTCTTCAGATCTGTCAAAGAAAATGCAGATAGTTAAAAAAGTCTTTGGCTTCTGTATGTTTGTCTGGTGTGTTCTCTCTCTCCCTCCCCCCTCCTCCTCCTCTGTCTCTCTCTCACGTGAAGAAAAAAAAAAGTGGCACAGTCAAGAAGTACTGCTTGAAGACGTGTCCAAACAAACCCTATCTTAAAGATGACGGAGGCCATCTTTGAGTGGCCCAGAGAGTACAAAACACATTGGTCTCTTCCGCCACGCGAGTTTGGCAGTAGGTGACATAAAATTACTCCCAGGCACTAGGGCAATAGAGAAAACTCGGTGTTACTTAGCATCCTATCAAAGCACTCTATTAAATTCCTTCTTCTTAGAGCATGATGCTCTGACCTATAGAATGACAGCCCTTAAGTGCAGAGAGGTCTTGAAGTACCTTCTGGATCAAGTTCATTATTTTCAGTGTTCAATATTCCAGTACATTCCAACTTTTTGCCAAGTCTTTACTTCTGTTGGTTACTTATGGTAATACTTAATAAAAACTATGGTTCCAGATTCTAACTCAGATGTAACTACAATGAGATTTAGAAAGATACCTAAATTAAGACCAGATTCATTCATTCATTCGTTCAGGAAATATTTACAAAACAACTACTACTATGTGCTAGGCACTGTTCTAGATGCTGAGGATATTCTCTCACCCTGAGTTGATTCTCATGGGGCGCCTGGGTGGCTCAGTCGGTTAAGCAACTGCCTTCGGCTCAGGTCATGATCCTGGGGTCCTGGGATTGAGCCCTGTGTCAGGCTCCCTGCTCAGCTGGGAACCTTCTTCACCCTCTCCTTCTACCCCTCCCCCCAGCTTGTGCTCTCACTCACTCTCTTTCTGTCTCAAATAAATAAAATCTTTAAAAAAAAAAAAAGAGTTGATTCCCTTTTTCATACATCTGACTGTGGGTTAAATGCTGCACTTCTCTCTAGACAGACATTTACCCTCATGTATACATAAGTGTTTCCTAAGTTTGAACACAAGGTATTCCACACACACAAGAAGATTAATTAAGCCTCTCTCCTCTGGAAACTCATAATCAAAGAAAGATATATTGACCTGCGCATGTGAGAAAAGCAGAAGGACACCAGGCTAGCCATCCATGTGAACAGAATTCAGCCTCATGAATGAATTGGGAGTGGTTCAGGGGAGAAGAGCACCGTCTAGGGAGCAGGATATGCCAAGTCCTGAACTGAGACAAATGCAAAATTGCCACTTTCCCTTGTACTGGGAACAGGGTAAACTTGCTTTGAGTAGGTGATCGCACCTGGCCAGGAGAGAAGCACACACCGGATTAATTCACCAACCCCAGAACACAGCCAGCCAACCCTGAACCTCGACCGGAAGGCACTCAGGCTGTCCTATTTTGTCAGGGGGAGAGGGAAGTTGTCAGAACAAAGGTGTGTAACGAACATGGAAGTTTGTGTTGTTGGCGGTTTACAGATGGGAGGCATGGCTGGAGCAGACTAAATACTGCAAGCAGAAAGCAAACCCACGCCTCTCTCCTCAAAGTCTGGTGGTCTGCACTTGGCATAAGCACAACCTCCCCACCGCTCTCCCCAAACGGATCATCGGACTTCTTCACGATGTTAACCTCTGAAGTGGTTCGTTCCTTCATTCTAACAAACACCCGACCAGGGCTATTTCTCACTCTTCAGCCCGTCTCTTCCCTACAGGTAAGAAGAAGCTGGCCAGAACATTAGAGCGACAGGGCTAAAAATATTATAGCAGAGAAGGGCACAAGGGAACTAATGTTTCCTGAAGGCCTATAACATGCCACACACACAAATCTAAGAAACCCCACGTTATCTTCACCTCCTCCGGGTAAAATGACTTCACTTTACAGAGGAGAACACAGAGGTTCACAGACATGAAGTAACCTGCTCACGGCTACAGAGATAATAAACCGGAATGGGGACTTGAATCAGGTTGGCCTAATTCCCTGATGCCTCAGCGGCTCAGCCAGAAGTCAAGAGTCAAGGTAGAAAAAAAAACCTAAGCATGAAATTCAAGGTCTTTCATCCACAGCACTGTGGTTAGGGGCCCAGACTCTGGAGCCCAAGTTTCTCGGTTTACGTGCTTGTTCTCCACTCCTGTTTCCTTATCTGTCAAAGAGTGCTAAGAATAAACCTACCTCTTTGCATTGTTATGTGGACTTCATGAGTTAATTTTTATAAAATGTTCTGAACACCACTTGGTACATGGTAAGCACCATATAATTGCCTGCTACACATATAAATAAAAAATAAAATTTCCTCTGGGGAATGCTCTCATCCTTCCTTAAGAAATCTCTTCCTGAGTGATGGAGGACTTTTATCACTTGATCAAAAGGGTCATGAGCTCACTCTCCTCCAGGAGCAGCAGTCCCGTGGTCAGCGTGACTCACAGTCTACCCCTGGCTCATCCTTCGCTGGCAGAAAGAGGAGCCAGCCACCAGCTTTGCTCCTACAGTGCATCTAAAGCATCAGCTGCCTCTCCAGAATTGTGAAGATTGCAGAGGCCGGCCATGTGGATAGGGGCAGTGGTGCCACTGGGAGGTGGCTGCAGTGTGTGACAAAACCACCCCTCAGATACAGGATATCAAGCCCCTCCATCTCCAGCCTCGTTGCCTAAAGGCCCTATCACCAGCCAAGCAGTCCACAGGTAAAAATGGCATTTAACTATTACCAGCAATTGAGATGAGCTAGACACAGAAGCCCTGGACCCCTAGGATGGTTTAAATCAGGCTTTCTCAGCTTTGACCCTATTGACGCTTTGGGTCAGACAATTCGTTGCTGTTGAGGGATGTCCCGTGCACTGAAGGGTGTTGGGCAGCACCCCTGGCCTCCGGCGACTGAATGACAGTAGCAATCCCTCTATGTGACAATCAAAAACGCCTCCAGACATTGCCAATGCCCCAATTTGAGAGCCACCGAGTTAGGCATATGCTCCCAGCCCTTTCTTCCTCGCTGCCCCTTTGTGCAGGTGAAGTGTGAGAACAGCTACTGAACTTGCATTCTGTGTGATCTCCATTCGCTAAGGTACTGGAGGCACTGCTACGAATATATGCGAAGTAAAATGAAGGAATCAGCCCTTCTCCCTACAGGAGCTGACAGAGGCCCAGCCCGGGCTGATGGTCTCTCAAGGGCTGGTAACCTTCTGCAACTTCTTGTCTTTCTGTTAAAGGGCAAGAGGACTATGGGACAGAGCCCCCCAACCCATAGTTATTGGCGACAGTCACTGGTGGGGTACACCCTAGGTAGAATACAGAACTGTCACATCAACCTTAAGATGACACAAACAAATGGAAAGATAGTATATTCCCTGCTCATGGATTGGAAGAATATTGTTGAAATGTCTATTCTGCCCAAAGCAATCTACAGATTTAACGCAATCTCTATCAAACACCAACAATATTTTTCACAGGACTAGAACGAATCATCCTAAAATCTGTATGGAACCACAAAAGACTCTGAATAGCCAAAGCAATCTTGAGAAAGAAGGCCAAACCTGGAGGTATCACAATTCCAGATTTCAGGATATACTATAAAGCTGTAGTAACCAAAACAGTATGGCACAGGCACACAAACAGGCACATAGATCAATGGAACAGAATACAGAACCCAGAAATAAACCCACAGCTGTATGGTCCACTAGTCTATGACAAAGAAGGCAAGAATATGGAATGGGAAAAAGGCTCTTCAACAAACGGTGTAGGGACAACTCGACAGCTACATGGAAAAGGATGAAACTAGACCACTTTTTTACACCATACACAAAAATAAACTCAAAATGAATTAAAGACCTAAATGTGAGGCCTGAAATCATAAAAACTCTAGAAGAGAGCACAGGTATTAATTTCTCTGACATTGGCCATAACAACATTTTTCTAGTTATGTCTCCTGAGGGAAGGAAAACAAAAGCAAAAATGAACTATAGGGACTACCTCAAAATAAAAAGTTTTTGCACAGTGAAGGAAACCATCAACAAAACAAAAAGATGACCTACTGAACGGGAGAAGATATTGGCAAATGGTATATCCGATGAGGGGTTGATCTCCCAAACAAAGAACTTTGGTAACATACCCCCAAAACCAAATAATCCAATTAAAAAAATGGGCAGAAGACACGAATAGACATTTCTCCAAAGAAGACATCCAGATGGCCGACAGACACATGAAAAGATGCTCAACCATCCTCATCATCAGGGAAAGGCAAATCAAAAGTACCATGAGACATCATCACCTCACAGTTGTCAGAACGGCTAAAATCAACAACATAAGAACAAACAAGTGTTGGTGAGGATGTGGAGAAAGGGGAACCCTCATGCACTGTTGATGGTTAATACAAATGGTTACAGCCACTCTGGAAAATGGGTTCCTCAAAAAATTAAAAATAGAAATACCAATAATAATCCAGTATACTGCTACTGGGTATTGACCCAAAGAATGGGAAAACACTAATTCAAAAAGATATTCACACCCCTCTATTTATTGTGGCATTATCTACAATAGCCAAATTATGGAAGCAATCTAAGTGCCCATTAACAGACAAATGGAGAAGAAAAATGTGGTGTACACAAAGGAATACTACACAGCCATAAGGAAAGATGAGATCATCCCATTTGAGACAACATGGGTAGATCTAGGGAGTATTATGCTAAGTGAAATAGTAAGACTGGGAAGGACAAATACCTTATTTAAAAAAAAAAACAAACAAAAACAAAAAGCAGAATCAGACCTACACATACAGAGAACAGACACCTGCCACAGAGGAGGGCGTGGGGGATGAGCAACATGCGTGAAGGGGAGTGGGACACAGAGGCTTGCAGGTATGGAATGAGTAAGTCACAGGAGTAAATGGCGCAGCATAAGGAATACAGTCAACAACATTGTAATAGTGATGTAACGAGACAGATGGTAATTACACTAGTGAGGAACACAGCATAATGTCAAATCACTAAGTCACACACCTGAAACTAATGTAACATTGTGTGTCAAC